CTCGTTTTCAATGTTTGATGTTTCAATTCGACATTTTCTTGCGTGTTTAAAACCTAGAACATGTTTAGGGATGTAAACCTGTGTGAAATGAGTAATTGGAAGCTATACCGAACTGAATCGGGTGAGAAAAATGGGACTGAAATCGGAGAAAACGCGAGGAAGACGAAGTTCCCAGTCCCGGTCCGCCGGACCACACGTGGTCAGCCGCGGACCGAGGCTGGGAAACACGCGCAGTCAGTCGGACCGAGCAGTCCGGACTGAGCGAGAAACGCGTCTGGTCCGGGGCTGACCAGTCCTGGTCCGCCGGACCAGACGTGTCCCGAAGCCCCGCGGTCCGCCGAGCCAGGAGAAGACGGACCGGACCAAGAAAACGCGTCCTGGTCCGCCGGACCAGAACCTGGTCCGCCGGACCAGACGCGGTCCGGGTGCGCGCGGTCCGCCGAGCCAGGAGACGGACCGGACTAAGAGAAGAACACGCCTGGTCCGCCGGACCAGACCTTGGTCCGCCGGACCAGACGTGCAAATTTTCGCGCACCGACGGACCAAAGCCGAGGCGGACCAGAGGAAGGAAAAGCCCGGTCCGGCTGACCAGACGACGGTCCGCCGGACCAGACTTAGAGACTTAGAAGAAAATGGGACTTCGGCCGGGAAGGAGAAAACGACCCTCGGGGTTGACCCGGGCCCGACCAGACGTGACTGTGGGCGATCCGAACCATCGACAGAGAGCAGGCTTCGCGATTGGGATCAATCGGAATGAATTTTACTAACACGTTGCGTAACGTGGTGAGATGTGTGATATCAATTTACGAGGGATCGTTGTGTGATTGCTTGCGGGTAGAGTTGTATGGCGTTGAACGGTATTCCGGTAGGGACCAGATACCGTGAAACGCGTGGTTGTATCATGGGGATATTGCACGTCGTGTGCCATGTGTGTAGCTTGCTCGTGCGTACGAGTTAAGCGTGACTGTGTTTGTAGATGGTTGTGGACTCAACCATCGCCGTCATGGACTTGACGGGCGTCTGTGACGCGTTTATGTCGTGTGTGACACGACGGCCAACGTCATGGACTTGACGGGCGTGGATTCGCCCCTAGTCATGGACTTGACTAGGGTTTATGGCTGGACCCTATGGTGGACTCCATAGGGATATTGTGGACGGTTGTGGACTCA